GCCTGTTGAATCAATTTATGTCTTGGTTGTATGAAAGATCAAAAAATTTGGATTTTCTGGCAAGTTGTACATCTTATCGCTACATTAATGGCCATGTACAAACTCATTTAATTTGCGTTTATTTTGTACACTAAATAACCGAATATGGATAACTCAGCCGAAATAGGTACGTGCTTTCGTTGAATTTTATAAATATAAGCCGAAACTATGAAATTGCAAAATTGCAATGTTTGTGGGCGAAACGTCCAACTTGATTGCGGATTGATTTTAGCCAACGTTTTCGGGTTGCATTATGTCAAAAGGATGTGTTTGTTGTAATTCATTCTGTCATTTACTACCACTATGCGTAGGCCAATTCATGAAATCATTTCATGCGTTTGAGTAGAAACTGAATGAATGAACACCATTTCATGATTTAAATTAACGCGAAATAGAGTTTATGCACTTAGTTTTTACTCAGATCGATGAAATATTTTCGTAAATTGGACTACGCATACATGTGATACTTATGCTTTTAATTTATAATGTAATTTTATGTTTTTATACTCTTGCTACCACATGAATATATGAATTCGTGATAAGCATATATGAATTCGCCTTGGAAGATAGAAAACGAGTAAGAATAAATGCCGAACAAAGGAATTTGTCTTCTTTCAACTTAAATAAATGCATTTTGCAAACAAAATAGCGTACGTTACTTAGTGCCTTGGCAAAGGCGAATTCGTAAGGATCTATTGATTGCATTATAAACATTTTCATTTATTTGTTAAACATACAATTACTTCCATTACAACCCGGCCCTATGGATGCTAGAAGCGCGAATTCATATAAGGTGGTGTTACCGGCAAATGAATAAATAAATTATATGTATATCAGAAAATTAATAAGATGAAATGAAATTATTCTTTGATTTCTAACCAAACCTATGTATGTAACTCAATCGCCTATGGTTTGCCGAACCGTAAACATATGTTTACACATCCAATTTCGTGAGGTGGTACCTGATACTCACACATTTTTTAAGAAGTTTCACTTCTATCATGTGTACGGTGTTACACACGCATTTTTTTTTAGTACTTATGTATGTATTTGTTTGGTGAAATTATTTGTTTCAATTTTTGTTACATTTAAAATAATTCCGTTAAACCAAACATCACGCGGGCGAAGCTGCGGGCAAAAGCTAGTATATTATATATTCTCTATTGGATGCTTGTAGGTCATATAACTCTATAGAGGTCACTCATCGGTGAAACGTGTTAAACGTCTTGTTAATTTAACTTTATTGGATAAGTTGTCTCTCTTCAGGTAATTTTCTTGAACATTGTTTTTTTTAGCAGCATTTATACAAATTCGCAGTTAATTATCTTCCCCATATGATGCCTTTAGCGTGCAATTTCTCTCGGCTTCGTCCAAAGCTCTTCAGGTGTCAGGTGGGTGGAATGCGTTGATCAACCGAGTCAATCCTAGTTCTGTAGGACCTTAGTCCACTGCGCTAGCTTGACCTAAGTTAGACTATAGAGGTTCGATTATTCCTAAGCTCGTGCCCTAGCTCAAAACTCCGACAGCAGCAAACAATTGACAGCATCGAAAATGGCTTCTGCTACTGAATTTTTACTTTTTTCGGTTTGTTTGACTTTTTGTAAATTTTTTGGTTTCGAGAAATACTTTGACGCCTAATTGGAAATTTTCCAATTTATTCTCATTAACAATCCCCAGAAGATAATTTACGTAGGCCTTCTTAAGTAAAGCCATTCTAAGAAGCCTACCCAAGAACGGCTAAAAAAAGCGCCTCCTTGCATGCCTTCTAGTAGGGCTTATCCATTTACAATTTACGCGATGCATAAATTTATATTATTTAGCATTACAAATGAATTTCAGTACGCATTTTAAGTTGCAATAACACATATTTGATATAAATCATAAGCAAATGCTTCAAAAATGTAAGATTTTTATAAATTAAAAATTGTTGTTGTTGTAGCAGCATACAAGCTCCCCAAAGAGCTTTTGGGGAGTGTTGCTGGAGTGACAGTCCTTGGCCAAATATAAGTCTGGGTCGTTCCGGTTACGTAGACCCGACTGTCGTGGGAACGCTTCCATGGGTAGTGAATGAAGCCCTCCAATTTGTGCCACTCTATATAAAAAAGAAAGGAGAAGGGAATGTAGAGTGGAAAGCCTCTTGACTCTCAAGAAGGCCTTCCGGAAGGGCTTTTAACTCCTGAAATTATATACTGGGTCAAAACAATGCCGAATTTGAATTTGGATGGACTTCACACCAACTCGCGTATCGCTATACGAGTTGAAATCAACTTGGATAATTGTACAAGTTGTGTTGTTGCTTTACATACAAATAGGCATTTAAACGAGTGTGCTTTTGGAAGTCCTTTACAAATGAATAGACCTAGTATTATGAAATTTGCCATATGTACTGTTAACAATGAAAAACTAAAGTTGCATATCTAAAGTTATTTCCGTACATTCACCGCAATGCTCATTGGGATGGTAGAACTTTTACATGTTACCACAGTTTATTACCCAAACTATCCAATTAGGCTATTTTCATGAATTCTGATAACTTAGAGTTTTGAATTGCCAATATTTATCTAGACATTAAATTATATTTCCAAATGTTACTAACCTTGTGTTTGTAGAAGTCTGTAGAACGTATTAAATATACCGCAAGATACATCCTTTTCAAATAAGTATTCCCATTCATCAATAGTTTTTTGTATTAATAGAGTAGAACTGCATTTTTTTTCGGTTCTAATAAGTTGCACGAAAGTGGCAAATAGCCTACAAACGTTTATAGTGAATAAAGCAACCTAAAAATAAAAAGTGTCAATTGTACAATGATTAAATGTGTTTGAAACCAACCTTCAAGTCCGCGAACTTCTCAATTGAATTAAGTACCCTAGGTACCCATGAACTCAATCCAATAATAACAATATCCCAGTCTTTGTACTTTAAACACCACGGCATATTTCTTATAACTTCAGTTAGCAGTCGGATGTATTCAACCAATTCAATTACAGATCCGTGGTCATCCATTGCGCTTTAGAATTGTTTTAATGATTATCACACTACAATTATTTATGTACAATTTACTCATGCTGACAAAAGCGTTTCGTTATTACCAAGATTTGGTTATAGCAATCAAATAGCATAGTTGGATAAGGCGAAATAAATAATAAGTTGGTGAAAGTCTGTAATATACTGGAGCATTTTAGTCAAGGCAAACGTTTACTTGATTATAATTACTGAACTGCTATCTTGGGTCGGTAAGATTGTTAGTTAAATCAAATCATTGTTGACAAACATTAAAAAATCCATGGTTTGTATATTTTTCCAGTTAGTTTTGTCATCTTGGTAAAATTTTATTTCCCTAAAAATTTGGACTTGACACAAAAAAAAGTTTGGTCTACTGGTAGCTGTATTTATTCTGTTGATTCTTTTCTTATTGTAATCGAAAATAATATTCAGCATAAACAAGTAATTAAAAAAATGTAAGACAGGTCGACCCCCAAACCACCTAACGGCTAACTTTTTGTGGCGGTATTTCTTTCCATTTAAGTAATTTATGTTCCAGATATAAAAAAAATCGGACCATAAATCAAGTATTAAGTTTAAAGTCTCTGGCTCATCGGGAAATTTGATTACACAGGTGAAACTTCATAAAAGCTTGTAAAAGTACATACAAAAAGAAGCTGACTTCCAAAACGTCAATTGCATTGAAGACGTACAAAGGTGACAGGTAATAAGATCAACGGAAATAAGGTCAACTGACTTTAGTTTCCACCCTGGTGCGAAATAAAGTCAATTGACATTATTACCTTCTCAAAAGCAAAATAAAATCCATTGACATTATTGCTCTTTCCAACATTAAATTTGCTTAGCTTCGCGGCGGCCCGCGTCCGAGCCCCACACCGCGCTCGAGCCCCATGTACCCCGGGCGACCGGTGCGCCACACCATGTCACGCTATGCCGTGATGACAGCTAATAAGTCCCAGATGATTTCTAAAATCTACAAACTAGTTTTTGTGCAAATTGCAGATAGAGGGTATTAATGAATTTAAGCCCTCGATATTTCACATTTTTATATTTGTAAGTTATCGGAAGATTTCTGCTGTGTTTTGGCAACAACTTGTCTGCTGTAATAAAGCATACAATTTGAGTTTCAAAAAACAAATCAATTAACTTACATGATCTCGGTTCCTATATTAAATAATCAATAATTTTTTATACTCGCATTTTGGCACATTGGCTTGAATGTGCCATCTATGAAATACATAATTACCATCAAATTAACGCAACACCGGGAGTGCTCAATATTTCTCGCTCTCAAAACAAATCGCGTTTGCCTCAATTAAAATTTAGTAACTACAACCAGGCCATGTGTTGAGAGAAGGCTTATCTGTAACAGAATGGAATTTGTAGAGCCATGTGTCGAAACAATATTTATTTCCTATCACCAAATCTATAGAATCCTTCAACTAAAGTAGCACTTTGGCTGACCGTAGATGTACTAATCCAACAGCTATTTGTAATATTTAGGGCCAGTTTTTCAGTGCCAGTTTAAACTTAGATTAAGTAAACTGAGTTTAAATTGAACAGCTGGCTGGCTGACATTTGATTGGCTGATCTTAGTTTAAACCAGATCGGGCGTTTAAACTCAGTTTAAACCACGGCCGTGCACTGAAAACCTGGCCCTTAGTCTCAAAATTTGTGAAAAATCGTCCACTAAGTGTATTTAGTTGCAGAAACGCTTTTCTCAGTGTAAGTATTTACATATATAAAAGCTTACACATCACATATCGCTTTTTTATCCGTATATAATTTTTCGCTCATTTCTCGAATAAATCCCAATATTTGCGTAGCTACATTTCTATCGCCGATTTCCATTACGTTGGATTTAAAAAAATTTGCTACGAAGCAGCACAGTGACGCAGATTTTATCCAAACGTTGGTTGACTTTGCACAGACAGAAATATTTTGTACGGATATACTTCTGTAACCCAGCTGAGGTAACTGAAACTAAAAATCATTAAGATGTTAATTCAAGTGTTTAAAAAAGTATGCGATTAAATTTGCTTTTAAAACTCTCAATAGGTACTGGTTTTATAGTGTTAAACAGCGAACGTACACACCCAGAATAAGGTTTAGTTATAGTTTCCAAAATTTGGTTACAGTAACCCAATAGCATAGTTGGATATGGCGAAATAAATATTTACTTTGTGAAAGTATGGGAGAAACGTATATTTGCTAATAAACGCAAAATCACTGTCTGGATTGGACAATATTGTTAGTTGCATCAACTCATTGTTAAGAGGAAATAAATACGGCTTTGGTTGATAAAAGCTTTCAAATACGTTTGTGAACTTGTTGGAAACTTGAATCCCGCTATAGTTTATTGTACAACCAGAAGAAGGGATAGTAGTAATTAACAAGATTTGGTTATAGTGACCAAGTAGAATAGTTGGATATGGCGAAATAAATATCTAGTACGCGAAAGTCTGCAATTTACTTGAGACTTCTAGATGGGACAAATGTATATTTGTTAATAATCACAAAACAACTTCCTTGATTGGACAATATTGTTAGTTGAATCAAACCATTGTTGGGCAAATATAAACAATGCTTTGGTTGATACAAGTTTTCAATTAATTTTGTGAACTTGCTGTAGACTTGAATCAGTTAATCGTTCATTATTGGAAAAAAGTTTCAATTTGACACAAATAAAAATTTACTCGATGGTTGTTGTGTTTACTTTCTTCTTTTATTTGCATATATTAAGCATAAAAAATACCTACATATTTACATAAATAGTTCCTAGGGTATATAATATATATCGTCACTAGAGATGAATAAAGGCGCGCTAGTGTTTCGACGGCGAAAAAAGACGCATAATAAAATTGTACGTAAAAAGGAGCTTAAGAAAAACTTCGGCGAAGAAAGACGCGTAATTTAGTTGACGGCGAAGAAAGATCCGTAAACATAGATTTATACCTGACCAACGACTGTGACTTCAGCATCATTCGCCAAAAACTCTTTACGGAATGTGCATACTATTACAACCGCAAACATAGTTGACCGCGAAAATAAGTTTACGCGTCCTTCTTCACCGTCAAATATTTTAACGCGTCTTTTTTCGCCGTCAACTATGTTAAGTCTTTCTTCGCTGAAGTTTTTTTATGCGCCTTTGTTCGCGGTGAACTTTTGAGCTCGCGCCTTTATTCGTGTCTAGTGACGATATGAATATGGTGGTAAGAATTTCCTAAAAATAAACGATAAAACAGGAACACTCGTGCGAATACCTAGGCCAATATCTGCGGCTGGAAGTGGTGGTTTAAGTATACTGCTTAGATTTTTCCTTGACACTTTCAAATTATATATCCCCTGAGAAACCCCGGTTGGGTTCAATCTTTATATTTTTAAATAATTATGCCCGCACCGAAACAACTCGCGGCGATAGCAAAACTGAAACTGAGCATGTCATAGCACACACTTTTCTTTCTCTATCTAGCGTAGTGATCGACATGCCATAGCTTACTGAGCGGCCTGTGACCACATGCGTGTTTCACCTATATACGAACAGCGGTAGCGAAGCAATGTTTTCAACGCACAAGTCTCATTCACTGAATCGTTTTAATGCAATGGTCGGCATACTAGCCGGTGTTGCCAGAACTTTTTGGGCCAACCGGCTAGATTGGCAAAAAAAAAAACGGCTAAAAACGGCTAAACTGTTTCAACTAAATTTCACATGTTTTATTTAAATAAATCGTAAGTAGAAAGACTAGTTCTTGGGGAGAAGTTGCAAATTCAAGCTGGAAAAAATTTTACGGCAAGAATTTGCAATTAGAAAAAACATATGAATGTGGCACATGGTTGCATTTTTTGTCGACAATAATTTGAATAAACAGCTTCGTCAAATTTAAAAATGTACAAACTTGAGCGATTTATAATAAAAAATTTAAGTAAAGACTTGTCTACTTAATTAGTTTAGTTAATTTCCATGATTTGAAACGTACTCGTAACGCAATCTCAACCATAGTCGATATAGGAAACGCGTGTTGAAGAAAGTCGGACTAGCAAGAAATATACATGTAGATCCTGTTTTTTGTCCCGCTGAAAGAACTTTAAAATTCTATACAAATTTCTTATGTTTTAAATGCAACCGTGGGCACTGGGTGGCAGAGAAACTTGCAAGTTCCTGCAGATTTGCGTTCGTGCAGAAATTTGCAAGTTTCTCTACTTGAGAGAGAATTTGGGAGCATTTTTTCTTACTAACTGATATTTTGAGTGATAATTTTCACGACGAACAAACCTATTGTATTCCTAGAGAGTTTTGCTTTACATAGAAATTTGTGCTCTTTTACTTTCATTTTTATGCATTTCAGTGCTGGTTCTTTTAATTCAAGTTGGCCTTCGGTTTTTGGAATTTAAATAAGTTCTCAGGAAAAAAAGTTAGTTTAAATAAGCCCATTTTTCCATTTTTCCCTTGCCTTAAAACTTTAAGCGTGGGCAACAATGATGTTTTGTAATTAAGGAAGAATTGAATATACGCTATCTGGGAAGACAATACCTGTAACATTTATTCTTGGCAGTATATCCAAACACAAACGCCTGTTAAGCAAAGAGTGAAACAATTTGTTATTTTCTAAGTTTGCGAATAAAACTTCACACTTAAATTTAAGTCATTGATAACAAACATTTTATGAAGAAAGTCCCCGTTACGGCCTTCTTTCGAAAAAAAATATTTGTTTAAAATAAAAATATTCGAAATCAGCCCAATTTTACATAACCCTTCCTCCACGATAACGCTAGTAGCCATTTCTAACAGATTTTGGGTCGCTTAGTCAAAAATGGAAACATATATACTTGAATTTTAAGAAAACAAAGAAATAGCAAAATCGGCTAAAAACGGCTAATTTTTTTACAAAACGGCTAACAAATCGGCTTCCGGCTAGACCGAAATTTCTCCGGCTGTTTGCTATTGCAGCCGGCTAAATCTGGCCGGAAAACGGCTAAAATGGCAACACTGATACTAACCCATTCAAACGATTCAATGAGTGGGACTGTGTGCATTGCTCAGCTGGCGCTCTTCGTATGTGAAACACACACGTGCTCAGAGAGCGGTCAGCATCCCTTAGGGGTGGCTCACAAGCAGTGTTGCCGTTTTAGCCCCTTGGTGGGTAAATATGGCTACCAAATTCTTTTTTTTTGACCACAAAAATTTGAAGTTGTCCCTAGCCCTTTTTAGCCCTTTTCAAAATTTATTCATCATTGACATTAAATTTTTTTTTTATGATTTTCATGAATTTAACTCTTCGCTCATAAAGCGAACGCCTTTCCTTCAAGGCAAGTAAACATATGTCTATGTATGTTCCTTACGTTTCTGGGTCATTATCTTATCCGTTAACGATTTAACTATACTTTAAAATAAGTAAGTTGGCGGCCCTTAATATGCTTTATGTGTTACACAAAAAGTTTTTTTGTTGAATAAAATATTACTCTTTTCAGAGTTCATTGTTTTTCTATACCAGTAAATAGAAAATGTTTGCGTGTATACTTATCATAGCGCACGGCAGTGTGCGCGAGTGACGAAAGCATCCACAGTAGCATGCTGAAATGACTCACTTATATATACACGAGATTTGGAAGTTTTTACCCAGACGTCCAATCGACATGTTTGATATGTCGTTGGAAAGGTCTTGCAGAGTGTGTCCAGAAACAATAATCAAGCTTCGTAAAAGATTAACCGGATTCTGAATAATTAGGCTAAAGTGTTGCGAAACAAAAAACGTTTTTTTGCTTTTGCCGGTTTAAGGGGGCATGAGGGCACAACCAACATGTTTAGTGTTATTCTATAGGCCAATACCTTTCAAACGATACCTTATATATTAAGTTCCGGCCACTAGTTGGAAAGATATAGAGGTAAATGTATTTTGGTTCGTGTCTCCACTACGAGATGCTTTGATATGTATGTGGCGTCTGTACGTACCATCATTTAATTTTTTTCAAACTTTCAGGAATTAAAGTACACAAAAAACTAAGGTTTTGTTCCAGGATGTTTTGATTCGTATGCCTGTGTGGGCGTGGTTGCTGCCTGAAATTCGAAAAAGGCAGTTTTTTAAACTACCACTGAGGCTCAGTCCATGTCACTGATGTGGATATCAGTAGAAGGGTCTTCAAACCAGCTATCTAACGCTATCTTTTGTGTTTATAAAATATAAATACGCCATAACGTTATCGCCTGAAAACTAAAAATCGGGCTGCTGAAAATAGAGATTTCGGGTATTTTCTCAAAAACTGGTCAGTCGATTTTATTCTAAGTTTCCAAAAGTCTAGCCCCAAACCTTAGCTTCCATGTGGTATATAGCTTATATCTGGGAAAACTCTTGTTGTGGAGATATTGCTATTCAAATTGAAAAAATGTCGCTCCAAAAAGGGTCAAATGGTTAAAAATTAACATATCCGTCTAATTTGGTTACTTTAAGATATAAAAATAACATACGCAGTTCCCCGAAAAAAATCGCCCATTCCCCGATTGCCACTTAAACCGAAATTCCCTGCAAATCGGGAAATTTCCCGCGAGTTGACAAGTTGAAGAATGCTGCTGTGCTAATCACTTCGTACATGTCTTGGAAACCACAGTTTGTGTGTATTTTAGAGTTTTTTTCAGTCACATGCCGAAATTGTAACATTCTTCCCCATTTGAACTGCAGGTATGTACACAGATTTAACTATGCTACATGGGTTTATCACCCGCACTTAACCTACCTGGTATTTATCTATAGTTGTACATAAATATGTATGTATGAATGCATTTAGTTCACTCAATGCGCCGCTACTACTTACATACATATGTATAACTTGCCACTGAGCAAAACTACTTGAGAAAAAATCATTAGTTTAATAGCACGAGTGCAACACCGTACACGTGATAGAAACTTCTTAAAAAAAGCACACCTGTGCGCCCCACACCCAGTAGAAATCTTAACAACAATTAAACTACGAGGCAATGAGACGAATAC